AGGAAATGTTGAATAAAGGTGAACTTTCTCACCTTGATAAAGAATATCTACAAAAAAGCCAACAGATAACATCATGCTTAATAAAAAACAAAATATTTTTAAGATTGGGAATAAGGCAAGGATGTTTGCACTCAACACTTTTTCAAAGTAGCACTGGAACTCCTAACCATCACAGTGAGTAAAGAAGAGAATAAAAAAAGAAAAGAAAGAGAAAAAATGAGATTGTCCTAATTTACAAAAGACATGATGGCCCATGCAAAAACCCCAAGGAATCTACACACACACACACACACACACACACACACACAGACACCTAGAACAAATAAATAATTTCATCAGGGATAAAGTGAATTTGCAAGATAGAAAATTAACATACAAAGTTCAATAGTATTTTTATACACTAACAATGAACACATTGAAACCAAAAATTATAAGGGTGACAGCATTTACAAAGACTCAAAACTAAATACTTAGGCATAAATATAATAAAACATGTATGGAACTTCCATGTTTAAAAAAACATAATACAACTCTAATAAAGGAAATCAAATATGACCAAAACAAAAGCAGAAACATGTTCATGGATTGGAAAACTTGACACAGTAAGGTTATTAACTCTCCCCAAATTGATTTACAGGTTTAGTGTACTTCCTATAAAAAATTCCAGCAAGAGATTTTGTAGCTCAAGACAAAAGTATTTGAAAGTTATATTGAATGTCAAAGAAATTAGAACAGCTATAGTGATTTTGAAAAACAATTATAAAGTGGGAGAAATGTAAGATTTGTCATATTGCCTATACTATCAGTCATGTAATAAAGACAATAATCAAAGGGCTGGGGGAGACAGGTCAATGTTAGAGCACTTTCCTAGTTTGTACAAGACCCTAAATTCAATATCTACCACCAAAAAGAGAAGAACTGAATTTAAGATATACTTTGGGCAATACGTATACTCACTTGTAGAACACTGGCTCACCAAGCAAGCACAAGGCTTTGGGTTCCATCTCTAGCACTTCAAAGGAAGGAAGGAAGGAAGGAAGGAAGGAAGGAAGGAAGGAGAAGAGGAAGAAAAATAAAAGAGAAAGATTGTGTGTGGTTTTTGTCAGAACAATAGAACAGAATAGAGAATTCCAGAAATAGATACAATCAAATTATTATTTAACAGAGATGCAAAAACAAGTCCATGAGAAAGAAGAGGATTTTCAATAAATTATTTTGAAGCAAGTGGATATCCACAGAGCAAAGAGGAGAAAAAAGAACCTCAACCTAAGTCTCTACCTTATATAAAAATTAACAAAAATGGATTACAGACTTCAATGTAAAGTGCAAAACTATAAAACTTTTAGAAAAAAATCGATAAATTGGATTTCATCAAAAATTACAAAACTTGTTCTACAAAATATTAGTAAGATTAAAAGACAAGCTTCACAGTAAAGGATATGTGAAACAAAGATGTAGCACTTGCTTTGTATTCCGTATTCAGAATAAAGAACTTCCAAAACTCAACAATTTTAAAAAGGTACAAAATCAGCAAAGGATAGAAAGAGACATTTTGAAGAAGAGGATATATGATCACAAATATGCACAAGAAAAGATATTCAATGCCAGTAGGGAAACGTAAATTAAGATCACACTGAGAGAGCACTAAACAACTATTAGAACAGCTTAAATTTTTTTAAATATCGAAGGCTAATTATAAGAACAATCTACTTTTGCTCTTATTGATGGTAACACAATCTGAAATCTGATTACTTATAACCTGGACTCAGAAGTTCACTTGGAAAAAATGTTACTAATTCCTCTTTGCTAAATGGAGTAGACAATATAAATACCTAAACACAAATTCATTTCTTGTAATGGTTCAATTCTGATGTTAATTTCCCAGAAATTTGATGACCATCTTGCAGCTGGTTTACTTTTTTTAGCCTTTCTCAACGTTCCATTAGAGAATTAAATGCTACAGAAAATGATTTGTGACTTTTATCAATTTTCCCAAAGACTATACATAGCAACTACCAGTACAGATGCATAAGAGAAAAGTTAGCTTAATATATACAATGGATGTCTAAGGGCATAAGAGCTTAATTCTTCCAAAAGCCTTGGTTAACAAAGAACTATAGACTAATGGTCATATGCCTGCTTCTGTCTTTCTTTATCCAGGGACTTAAATATTATGAATGCTAAGTCACTTCTTACTGCTCCAAAATAAACTAGCCTTGGAACTAAAATAAGAAGTTGTATGAAATTTCCCAACTATTTATACTATGAATCATGCTGCTAGCAGGCTCGGATGTGCCCAGTTCAGGCAGATTGTCAGTCTGGCCATTGCCTCCAATCATTCAATAATTTTTCACCACTGACTCACCTCCTCCCTATACGCTCTCTGATTGGCCTGTTGCCTGCATCCTGTAATTGTGCCAGTCACCCCCGTGACGTTTCCTTAGCAGAGCCCAATTAATAATGTATTTGACACATTTCCTTGTTCCATCAAATACCAATTTGGCTCGAATGGATGAGAGAATGGCTATTAAGGAAACAGTGAAACCTTATTGTGAGACAAGGCTTTGCATTTCATTGAGCTTGTCTTGGGAGATGCAGAGAGGCAAGGAAAGATTTGTGTAATATTTTGCTCAGCAGAGTCTGGTTCTAATTACTCACATTCAGTCCTTGTGCAAGTGACAGTGTGTCGTGTGGTATCTGGTGACTCTGGCCCATAGGATGCTGCTCTTTGGCAAATGTTTGCCTGCTCCTTGGATGTTTCTGCTAGATAGTTTGAATCTGCTACATAGTTTCCTATTTGGAGTAGGAAATGGGTTCTTAGATGTGACACCAAACATGTAAGTGACACAAGATGAAATGGACACATCAAAATTCAAATCTTTTGTGCTACAAATGATCCCATCAGGAAAGTAAAAAGACAACCCACTGGATGGGAGAAAATGTTTTCAAATCATATTTATGACAAGGGAGTTGTATCCATAATATATAATAAATTTGTAAGTCAAAAATAAACATATAACTCAATTGAAAGCAGGCAAAAAATGTGAATGGACATTTGTCAAAAGAATATATATATAAACGGTCAATAAGCACATAGAATGGTGCTCAACATTATTAGTCACTAAGGAAATAAATTGCAAATCAAAACAACACTCACTAGGATGGCAATCATAAAAATCTAATCAGCTCCTCAAAATGTTAAACAGACTTACCATATAAAGCCAGCAATTCTACTCCTATGTATACTGTATACCCAAGTGAAATAGGTCTACAGAGAAACATGTACACAGATAATATAGCAACATTAATAACAAAAAAGTGAAAAAATCCAAAAGTCCATCAATTGATGAATGGTTGAATAAAATGTGGTATATCCATAACATGGAATATCATTCAGCAATAAAATTTAAGGTCTGATATATGTTACAACATAGATTAATCTTAAAAGCACCAGAATAAGTGTAAGATGTCAGAAACAAGGACCATATGTTGTGTGATTCAATTTACATGAAATGGACAAACAGACAAAATAGAGACAGAAAGTAGATCAGTGATTGCCAATGCCTGGGTGCAGAGGCAATTGTCAGACACACCTGCCAATGGATATTGGAATTCTTCTGGGGATGACCAACATGTTCCAAAATTATATGGTTGTTATGGTTATATGATCTTGTGAATATATTAACTACCACTGAATTATGTATTAAAAAGAACTAGATGTTATGTGAATTATATTTCAATAAATGTAAAATACTTTAAAAACAGAAAAAGAAAAGATCTGAATGAAATCCAACAGACACCCTGTAACCCACTTTGGAGGATGCTGTAGGTAACACTGACTGAGTAGAATTAACATAAAGCTGAGATTAAAGTAAAATGCTAGGCTCAAATATGAGGGAAAATTTAGCCCTTTTTTGTCCCTAACAGGTACCTATTCCTTAGGCTTGAAAGATGATCAAAGGCCTCAGTAAACATGATAGAAAAAAATACACTGCTTGTATGGATTGATAACACTAGGGAATTGTCCATTTGTGGGATATCATCTGAAGAAGGATACAAAGATTCAAAATGGGACTTTGGCTCCTAAGGCAAGTTGCTGACAGAATCTGTTGCTTTTCTGTCTGTAACGATGTAATAAGCGAAGAAAATCCACAGCAGCCCCTGAAACCTTCAAGGTTTTACAGAGGTGTCATAAGAGACCTTGACCATTTACTTAACGATCAGTTGGGCCCACTGAAAGTAAAGTAACAACAGCAGATTTCTGCCTTCAACAATTTAATGTCACTATAGAAAAATCAAAGCAAGTGACAAAGTCTTCTAGTAAAAGATGGTTTGTGCATAGCATAGTTGTCTCAGTCCCTGGCCATGCCCATTAAGTGTCCTCATACTCTCTCCAGTATGTGTTCCAGTTAGTGAGACAGATATTATGAAGGTCCTGCCTATGCCGATTCAGGGCTGAGATGTTCAACAACAGGCACTCTTTGTGAGGATCTTTACAAAGTCACATACTACTTCTATTGAAAGTTGGGTCTTTGACTATAGAGCTATCCACTTGCCATAAAGAACAAGAGATAAAACAGAAAAAGAGGAAAAACTGATGTTTACAGTACTTCTTCCTCGAAAAATCTGGCACAAGTATAGAAAATATAGACACTGAAGGACAGAAAAGAAGGAGAAAGTAAGGGCAAATCAAACCACCATGGCACAGGAGTCACCTGCCCCTTTTGGTCAGGTCAAGAACTACAACATAGGAAATCAAAAAGAGTTACTATTTATATATCCTAAAAAAAAAAAAAAAAAGAACTACAACATAAGGCCTTTTACATAAAAGGAGACTAGGAGACTCTAATCCCATCACAGAGATAAAATAACCATAGACTCTTTCATGGGTGTGAGTATTAATATAAATACACACATGCACACACATACACACACACACACAGAGAGAGAGAGAGACACAGAGAGAGACAGATAGAGAGAAAGACTTAAAAGAAAATTACTTTTGGACTGTTGGATGGGGTTTCACAGATGTTCCAGAAGCTGGTCCACCTACAGCAGTAGAAGGCTCTTGGCTTTCCGTAGGTTGACTTTCAGGTCTTAATTTTCTACGAATTGGCTTTGATGGGGGCTGGGAATATGGTATATCCTGTGGATTAAAAAGAAAAGAAAACACCAAACAGTTAAAAATTAAATGCTCTCCCCATACATCTTGGCGATGTCCTGTGGCCCTCTAGCTCTGTCCTCAAGGTCAGAAGACTGCACTATTCACACTTCACACCAAAGGATATATGGCTGATTTCTGGCTTGGTAAGAACTAGAGGGAGGCAGCCACTGGACTTCGGTTTTCCTGTCTTCCTTCCATCAGATTCCAGGCTTCCTTGCTTTTTCTGGCAATAGTGTGGGTTGAACCCAAGGCCTTCACACTTAGCTCCATCCTCATCCCTTTTAAAATTTATTGTTTGAGACAGGGTCTTACTATATGTAGTGCTTGATTGATTGTGTCAATTTGAGACTTCTGGAAGCTTAACTAAATTGACTTAGCAATTCTGCACCTTAGGGTATAGAAGATCCACTGTAGGGCGGCTCATTGCCTGGATAGTATAAAAGGAGTGAGGAAGGATGGATGAGGTTCTGTTCTTCAGAGGAGCTTCAGTCTTCACCTTCAGCTTGGACGCCGTCTCCTGGCTTCCAGTGTACTCTTCAGCTTCTGCCTTGGACCCTTCAGACTTCTGGCACAGACTCTTCAGCCTTTCATTGCAGACCCAATGGCCTGCTGGTATAGACTTGCATAGGACACTGCAGTGAACTCCAGACTTTGGATTGAGTCCTTCAGCCTCCAGCATGCAGATGGCCTCTGTATGCCTCATCTGACTCTGTGGCTGACCATCATAAGCCAATCTTGTAATTTCTTATACATTTGCATAACTTATGTTGTATCTGGATGTCTAGTAAAACCCTAATACACTTATGTCATTTAAGTTGTGCAGGCTGAGCTTAAAGAGCTTTTGATCCTGCCTCAGCCTCCAGAGCACTGGGATTACATGTTTATGCTACTATACGTGGCTTCCTTTCCTTCCTCCCCTCCTTCACTTCCTGCCTCCCTCCTTTCCTTTCCTCCTTCCTTCTCTCCCTCTCTTGTTCCACTCTCCTCCTCCTTAAAGCAATCTATTACTTCTTCTGGTCATTTAAACTCACACTTAACCCTGGGTATCTAATATAATGGGTCTTTTCTAGCTGAAGACAAACTTGACTTCTGTTCTGGATATTTGGGACTATGAGGTTTTGAAGTTTGCGAGTCTTAGCCATGTGCTCGACATTGTCCTATTCCTGGTTCCCACATGAAGACTAGGGAAAAAGCCACGGTGTATTCAGGAAGGAGATAGAGGCCTTCCTTGGAGGACCCTGCCCCACCCATGCTCCTGAGTCCAAGACTTACCATCATTTTGGGAAAGGGCCTGGGAGAGAACAGGCAAGGACAAGAAGAGGATGGGAAGTAAAACAGGGTAGTGGTGCTAGCTGAGCAAATGCCAGGAGAGGTAGCAGCAAGCTGGGCAGAAGTAAGAGCACCAAGATACAAGAGGAAATCACAGTACAAAGACAAATAGGAGGCTGACCCCACCAAAGGGGGCTCATAAAGACTTAGTAGGTACATGGAGTTTCACTAACAATACCTGTGCCTCCTTGTGGCACTTTTGATCTTTCCAAAAGCAAGACTACCATGTTTAGTTGGGGGTTGAAGAGAGGTGCATAAACTGTCTGTGGCATCAAAGGTCAGGCCCAGGAACTGCAAGATCCTGATATTCACAGGGCACGTACATGCAGGAAATGGAGATCATTCACATTCATTTCACGATGTAGAGCCTGAGAATGATAGGTCTGCTAATTGGGACGAGAAGACCAGGGTAGGGGCTCATTATGATGTCATAACAGCAGCCTCACACCAGCCTTACCTTCTTGGCTGGACTACTTTCTGCAGCCTGGGAAGGGGCTCTGTTCAGCTGTGGGGGCAATTCAGCCTCGGACACTTGTTCAGACTGTCACAAGAGATCAGAGAGATGATATTAACACAAAAATACAACCATGTAAATACATAACAAAGAGCGTTTAGGAAAAGATCACTCAGAAAAAATGATTTAGAAAAGTTGTGACCAAGTACGATTAAATCTGCTGATCCTGGGGGAGGGGGATCTCCCTTAGACCCTACTATTCCCTGCTACCTCGCTTCCTGTATTATTCAGTTTTGGGAAAGGGAAATTATGGGAATTTCTTCTACAATTGGCCATACAATTTATTGGAAAAACTAACACTTTACAAAATCAAATTCTAAAACTATCAGGGTATATTGGGAAAAAGGTGTTTGGGAAAGAATGTGTGATTTTAATTGGATCACTAAGAAAATGATCATCATAAAAATGTAATTTTATTTTTTATATTTATTTTTATTAGTATGTTTACAGTACACAGTATTTACACTCATCACAGGGAGCAGCTACAGCACATGTACTTAACATATCTTAATTCCTTTTATTCCCCTTTTCCTCCTTCTATCTCAGTTGAAAAAGATGCCCTTCTCATTTGAAAATGATTCCTGTTCCTGTTTCCTGTCTTAAAAACTTTTATTAATACATGTTAGCAGTACATAATAAATACATCCATCATGAGAAGTTAGTACATGTACATAACACATCTTAATTTTTTTCATCTCTTTTCCCTTCCCTCTCACCATCAACTCTCTTCCCTTCTGCAAAAAACAATCTATTTCTGTTTCCTATTATTTATCTTTCCTATTATGTATTTTGTTTTTTAGATTATTTATACTTTTGGTTATATAAGATAAGAAGAGTTATATGATATTTAAGCTAGTATGTCTGATTTATTTCACTTAACATTATGGTCTCAAGCTACATCCATTTTCCTACAGCTAACTCAAATTGATCCTTTATGGCAGAGTAATATTCCATTGTATATAAATGTCATATTCTTTATCCATTTATTTGCTAATGGACATACAGATTGCTTCCAAGATTTAACTACTATGAGTCTGCTGTATAAACAGATGTATGCATATATCACTGTGGTATGATGCTTTCAGTTCTTCTGGGAACATGCCTAGAAGTTAAATAGCTGGGTCGAATGAGACTTCCAATCCCAGCTTTCTGAAGCACCTCCAGACTGACCTCCACAGTGGCTGCACCATTCTACACTCCCACCAACAGAGAGATAGAGTTCCTTTTTCCCCACAGTCTCTCCAGTATTTGTTGTTGGTAGTTTTCTTGATCCTGGCCATTCCTTCTGGAGTGAGATGGAATCTCAGTGTTGTTTTAATTTGTATTTCTCTAATGACCAATGATAATGAACATTTTTTCATGTATTTATTTACCATTGGTATTTCTTCATGTGAGAATTGTTTATTCATCGCAGATGCCCATTTTTGCATTGGGTCTTTGAATTTTGGGGGTATGAGTTTTTTAAATTCTTTATATGTTTTAGACAGAAGTCCTTTATCTGAGGGACAGTTCACTAAGATTTTTTCCCAGTTTGTGGGTTTTCTTTTCACTATGCTGGAGATTTCTTTGGACATGCAGAAACTTTTCAAAAAGATGTGACCCCAGCTACTGATTCTGGGAAGTATTTCCTGTGCTGTTTGATTCCTGTTAATGAATACTCTACCTACTCCTATGTCTTGAAGGTTTTAAACTAATTTGTTTTCCAACAGATTTAGTGTTTGTTTTAATATTCAGATCTTTGATCCATTTAGATTTTAGTTTAGTACATGGTGATAGGCATGGGTCTAGCTTTTGTTTTTCGTATATGGAGAGTCAGTTTTTCCAGCACCATTTATTAAAGAGACTGTCATTCTTCCAGTGAACATGTTTGGCTCCTTTATCAAAGATAAGGTAGTTGAGTGTGTTGATAGTCGTGGTTGTATCTTATAATCTATTTCATTGATCTTCAAATCTGTTTTTATTCCAGTACTGTTTTGATTTTATTATAGTAGCTTTGTAGTATAACTTCAAGTCAGGGATTGTGGATGCCTCATCCCTTGCCTTTGCTGCTTAGAATTGTATTTGCTATTCTAGGACTCTTCTGGGACCAGATGAATTTTAGGAGTGATTTCTCTAGGTCTATGAGGTATGTGGCCATATTCACAATATTTGTTCTCCCTATCCATGAACAATGGATGTCTTTTCATTTTCTGACATCCTCTTCAATTTCTTGTATTGGGGTATTGTAATTTTCCCAGTATAGATCTTTGACTTCTTTTGTGAGATTAATTCCTAAGTATTTCATTTTATTGGATGCTAGTGTGAAGGATGTGGCATATCTTCCTTCTCTCTGTGTAATTTTGTTGTCAGTGTATAGAAATGCTATTAATTTTTGAGGACTGATTTTGTATTCAGCTACATTGCTGAATTTATTTATTGTATCTAGGAGTTTTTCAATGGAGTTTTGGGAGTCTTCTATGTAGAATATCACTTCATACACAAATAATGATAATTTAACTTCCTGTTTTCCTATCTTTACCTATTTTATTTCTCTCTCTTGTCTAATTGCTCTGGCTAGAATTTCCAGTACTATGTTGAATAGGAGTCATGATAAGGAAAATCCTTGTCTTGTACCTGATTTTAAGGTAAATTCCTTCAGTTTTTGGCCATTTAATATGATACTGGCTGTTGGTTTGTCATAGATGGACATTTTGAGGTAAAGACTATTCCAATTTTCTGTAAGGTTCTTATCATGAATGAGTGTTGGACCTTATCAAAAGCTTTTTCTGCATCTATAGAAATGATCATGTGATTCTTACTTTTGGCTTTATTGATATGGTGGATTACACTGATTGACTTACATATGTTGAACCATCCCTGCATGCCTGGAATGAGTCCCACTTGGGTGTGGTGTATAATCTTCTTTATGATTTGCTACATCTTGTTTGCCAATATTTTATTGAGAATTTTGCATCTATGTTCATTAGTGAGATAGGCCTGTAGTTCTCTTTTTTAGTTGAGTCTTTCTCATGTTTTGGTACTAGAGTAATATTTGCTTCCAGGCATGACTTAGAAAGGATTGCTTCCCTTCAATTTCATTGAAGAGTTTGAGGAGTGTCGGCATTATGTCTTTTTTGTATTTCTTGTAGAATTCTGCAGTGAATCCGTCTGGGCCTGGGCTCTTCTTTGTAGGTAAGGACTTAATTACATTTTTAATTTCATTAATAGAAATTGGGTTATTCAGCAATTTTACATCTTCTTGACCCAGCTTTGGTACTTCATATGTTTCTAGGAATCTGTCCATTTCTTCTGTGTTATCAAACCTACTAAAGTAGAGGTTTTTGAAATAGGTGTTGGTGATCTTCTATATTTCCACAGACTGTAGTGATTTCACCTTTTTCGTTCCTTACTGCATGAATTTGAGTTTTTTCTTTCCTTTTTTTAGTTAGGTTGGCTAGGGGCTTATCAATTTTATTTATTATTTCAAAGAACCAACTCTGATTCATTGATTCTTTGTCTTGTTTTCTTAGCCTCTACTGCATTAATTTCTGTTGTGATTTTTATTCTTTTGGCTTTGGATTTGACTTGTTCTTCTTTTTCTAGATGTTTGATATGTAGCATCAGGTTGTTTATTTGTATTCATTCTGTTTTCCTGATGTGGGAACTCGGTGCAATAAATTTTCCTCTGAGGACTACTTTCATTGCATCCCACAGATTCTGGTAAGTTGTATTTGTATTTTGTTTTGCTCTCAGGTATTGTTTAATTTCTTCTTTTTTTAAATTTTATTATGAAAGTAGTAAAATACAACAAAATAAGAGAGATTAAAGCCAACTAAGATCATCCAGTGAAATTGGTACAGAACTTCACAGCAGGTTACCGGGATAACAGTAATAGGTATCACAGTATATTTCATTATCTTTACAATAGTTGTTCTTTCAATCATGCGTATCAAAATAAAATGAAATACAGAACGTTATAGAAATTATCCAAAAAGAATATTGAATAGAGCAGTACAATTAATCAGAATAGAGCAAAACAGTAATAAAAATATCTGCCTTCAAAGAGATGGTAGAAGGAAATCCCCCTTATTTGCTATGGTCAACCTCCCAGGAGATGCTCAGATTTCTGGTTCCCATTTGCTTACAGGGGGACAGGACAGGACAGAGGTAGGGGAAGTGGTATGCTTGACTCTAGGCCGTGCACTAGTAGGTTCACTATTGCTTAGCAGGGAGGCCAGCTGGTTGCTTGCTTTCCCAGCTTCGTAAGTTCCAACATGGCATGGATCTCAGTAGCTATTGGTGATTCTTTCCCTGGAAGGGCCACAGTCTGCCACACCACCAGCACTTACCAAGGAGGCGAGGTGCTTGCTTGACTTCCCAGGGTCCTAAGTTCCAACATGGCACAGATCTCAGGAGACACTGGTGATTCTCTCCCTGGAAGGGCCACAGTCTGCCACACTACAGCCTCTTTTCAGGGAGGCGAGCTTCTTGCTTGGTTTCCCAGCATCCTAAGTTCCAACATGGCACAGATCTCAGGAGACACTGGTGATTCTCTCCCTGGAAGGGTCACAGTCTGCCACACCACAGCCTCTTTTCAGGGAGGCGAGCTTCTTGCTTGATTTCCCAGCATCCTAAGTTCCAACATGGCACGGATCTCAGGAGCTGCTGGTGGTTCTCCCCCTAGAAGGCTAATTTCTTCTTTAATTGCCCCTGTGACCCAATGATTGCTCAAGAGTGTATTATTCAATTTCCATGTTTTTGTGGGGTTTTTGCAGTTTCTTTTATCATTAATTTCTAGTTTAATGGTGCTATGATCTAATAACATGCATGGGAAAAATTCACTTCTTTTGCATTTATTTAAATATGGTCTGTGGGTTAGTATGTGGTCTATTTTAGAGAATGTCCATGTACTGCTGAGAAGAATGTGTATTCTGATGTTGTTGTATGGAACACTCTGTATATGTCTCTGAAGTCCATTTGTTCACAAGTGTGATTCAGTTGTTATTTCTGTGCTGATTTCCTGTCTGTTTGATCTGTCCCTTGGTGTC